ATGTGTGTGGGTTAATATCAGGGTTTTCAATTTGATTCCATTGGCCTACCTGTCTATTTTTGTGCCACTAACAAGCTGTTTTCGGTACTATAGCTCTATAATAGAGCTTGGGATCAGGGATGGTGATGTCTCTGGACATTCCTTTGTTGAATAGGGTTGTTTTGGCTATCCTGGGTCTTTTGATTTTCCATATAAAGTAAAGCAAAACTCTTATCCTATTCAAGTGAGTATTAAAATTAGTTCATAGACTCACATTTCAAATCAAAGACTAAAAAGAAGGCTTTGTTTATTTGTTTGGTTTTTGTTTTTGTTTTTCAAAACAGGGTTTCTCTGTGTAGCCCTGTCTGTCTTGGAACTCACTCTGTTAGTTCAAGGCTGGCTTTGAACTTACAGAGATCTGCCTGCCTCTGTCTCCCTAGTGCTGGAATTAGATGGTTCAGCTGTTAAAGACTAGGCTCACATATGAGAGAAGGCTTTCAAGAAATTGACCATGATGGTAGGGGTAGAGGAGTTGAAAGTAGATGACAGCACAGCAACGTGATTTGTTAAGATGAGAAAATTAAGTAAAAGTCTAATATGAGCAAAGAAACAAAAACACAAAAGAGAAAAAAAGGTGTTGGGGGCAGGGAGAGAAGAGGCTTAATCAGTAAAAAAACAAGGTCCCTGAAGGGATGAGAGAGAGAAGGGGATAGTGAATGCAGATGGAAGATTCCAGCATAGTATCAAGCAAAGCCACTTTCTTATTCCTCTTAAGATGGTTTGGAGATAGAAGCAGCCAAGAGCTAGACCATGTAATGCATGCCTAGAGTCAAGCAACCAAGAGTCTGAGGCAGCAAAACCAACAATTCAAAGAACAGAAGGAAATAAGGAAAAGAGTGAAGGAGGAGAGGAAGGGATGATGGAAGGAGGGGTAGGGGAAGGCAGAAAGCAACAACGAATAAAGTAATAGAAAAATAAAGATAGTCACAACCTCTATTTCTGTGAGATAGTAGAGGGCATCCTATTCTGAAATTGAAAGAAAGGAAAAGAAAGTGAGCAAAGATCTTGGTGGTTAGGGCCTAGAATACAAAGGAAAACTACTGGATATTGGTCAACATTAAATTTTAGCTGAATTAGAAGCCTGGAAAAGAGATGCAGCCAAGAATGCCAAGTGTGTTTTCTCTCCAGCAATTTCACTTAACAAACATGAAATCATTGACCCCTCCATTCAATTTGGGATAAATAACAGTAAGCCTTTCTTTGCCTTCCTTGCAAGAAGGTGACAGACTGAAATAAAATGAAATGAAAGACTATTAGAACATTTCTTTATGCTTACAGTTAGGGTAGGGCACGCTTACAAAAGGCTAAGGTCTAGGGCTGGGCATGGTGGTGCATGGCTAATTCTAGCCCTTGGAAGGCAGAGGCAGTGTGGTCTATATAGTGAACTCCAGCAACACAGTGAAACCAAAACTAAATAAGTAAATGGAAGAGCTCAGATCTAGCCATTGTGCTGAAGACTTTGTACATTCACCCTTTAGTTCTCCTGTCCTTGTTATTGTACCCATTTTATAATTAAGGCATTGGGCCCCAGGGAAACTAACAACCTACACTCTTAATGCCTGGGTTCCAGGGATACCATTCTCACTCCAATATTATGGGATTCATTAACTAAAGCATTACAATATCCAAAGACATAATGCGTGTACCAATGCCACCCCAAAGAAGAGCAAAGGGTAAGAACCATATTTCTCAGACTCCTGGTGTGGCTTGAAAGTTTACAGAATTTGAAATACTCATATGAAATATTCATATGAATGTTGATTTTTGTCCTTAAAGCCATTAGTCCTTGCAGCTACTTGCCTTATGGAACTAGAAAGTATCAAAGTATGATGCCCTAAAAATAAGTATATGAATGCATTTGCATCTAATATGCACAATTCATATTCTACTGGTTTGGACCTACAGCACTGAACAGCATTCAGATTAATTTTGTTCTTGGAGTCTATAAAAAAGCACAATGACTTCACTTGCTGCAAGTGACTTTGGTAGCCACAGCTTGAGGATCAAGAAGAGGCTTTAGATGTCACTTGACTATCTTGTTTTTAACACTTTCCAAAGTTAGGTTGATACAGAGAGATTGGGATAATTAGATGGAAGGATCTGGAAAAGAAATAGCATTGTAGACTATTTCAAACATGAGTAGACAGCAGAGGAATTAATTCCAGGGGTAGAGAAGGTCTTTGACATGGAGGTGGAAGGTTTTCATTTTTCAGGTTTGTGAGTATCATGGAAATATGGAAAAATCAAATGAGTATTTCATAAATATGATTATGAACAGGGTATGATGGACATCCATTCTCAGAACATTCATTCTAGCTGAAAAGATTATTGTGGTGACCTATGAAAATCTATTACTGTAGTTTAAATATGAAGCTGCCCTTCAAAGACTGATATATGGAAAGCTTGATCCCCATGGCAAACAGTGGTCACTGCTGGGGCTTTGAAGAAGTGACTGGCTTTAATGTATACACCAATCCACTCATGTACTGACAGGTGACAATAAGAAAGACACCTTGCAGGTGTCTTGGGTATTGCCAGACTCCTGGGTGGCAGTAGCTGCATGGCTCTGCCTTGGCTCAGACTTCCAGGCCAATATCCACCTTCTGGGGGAGGAGGCTCAGACTTCCTGGCCAGTATCCACCTTCTGGGGGAGGAGGGTCAGCCTTCCTGGCCAGTATTCGCCTGCCAGGGCTGGTGTCCCTGCATGCTTTTGCTGTGCATTTTAAAGACTAAGTGCTCCATAAGCTCCATAAGCACAGTCATTATCACTTCTCCCAGCCATTATCACACTGGCAATGTGGAATATGTCACTTCTAGATAGCTAATATCCACTCTTCTGTCTGACACAAGCTACTAAACAGGCATACATAGCATGAACAGCCACAGATTCATATTCAACAGAAATACTTCACAGTGTTCAACTGGTGACAGTGAATCAGCCCGATAAATCAAGGCCCATTTTAATTAATACTCCGCGTGTTTCGATGTGCATAGGAATCAACTCGGGGAGCATGGCAGGATGCCATTTGCAATAGGTCCAAGGCTGGCTCGAGAGTGTGCACATCAACAAATCCCAGGTAATGCCAATTCTTCTCATTCCCCTTTTCATGAGAAAGGCTAGAGGGCTGGCCCCTCTCCATCACTTCCAAATTTATATGGCGATTGTCAGTTTAGAAAGGCTAATCCAATTAATGTTTCAGTGTCTAAAGGCTGCTGCCGCTCTAAGTGGTGGTATGACTTGGAAAGCGGGATGACTGCTTTCACTCAGTGTTAAAGAACAGAGCTTCGCCCATACATTAAGAACATGTGTTGTCGAGCCATGAAGAAATGAACTGTAAGCAACCCACACGTCAGCCAATTGTAGGGACTAAGTGACACCAAACACGACTTGGAGGAGAGTCTGCAACAACAACAAAAATTCTTCGGGTTCTATTAGCCTTTAATTCGGTTCCTGGTGGTGTTCTCCTCCTACAATCACAGACCAAAGGCTCAGCTTCTCAAGGGGGAAGGGGGAAGAGAAAGCATTGAAGAACAGAAGTGTCTTAAAGAGAGAAGTACGAGTTAAAGGGGAGGAGAAAAGGCAGCTTCAGTGAAGATCTTCCATGTAACAGATAGCCAACTAGTAGAGGATCCGTGAATCAAAAGTTGTAAATAAACTACCTGTGCTTTTTATATACTTCCAGCATTTTATTACAGTTTGTGTGTGCAAGCCTAGGCTTGCTGCCACCTGCATCTCTATGGCAACAATTGCTCTTGGACTTGTAGAATCATTTTACAGGAAGAATTTTGAAAGTGTTGGGAGCCTGCTCAAGGTCGGACAACAATGATGGAGACTTTCCAAGAATGACTAGACTGTTCCCAAGAAAGAAGAGAATTCCTACAGGGAGGAGGAAACCTGTACTCCTGCCCAATGTTCCATAAGACATTAACTTTTGGCTTCCTTAACTCTAACTGCTAAAAACATGTATTATAGCTAGGTAGAGGGGTGGTGCATTCCTTTAATTCTAGCATTCAAGGGACAGAGGCAGTAATTTCTGTGTGTTCTGGGATAGGAAGGGCTACATAGTGAGACTTTGTCTCAAAATGAATAAACAAACAAATAAGTCTTTTGCTTAAAATGAGATTTAAACAACACCTAATATTTGAAAGAAACTAGGAAAGGAGAAAAACAAGGAAGAGGGGGAGGAAGAAAATAGAAAGGGAGAAAGAGGAGGGAGAGAGAGAGAGAGAGAGAGAGAGAGAGAGAGAGAGAGAGAGAGAGAGAGAGAGAGAGAGAGAAGCAGGCTACAGTTGTGTCTCTAAGGGGACATCTGTAACAGGTGTCACACAAGCTGCTAAGAGTCAACCCCTGCTCTCAAACATCCAACACTAAGGCCGACTTCCTTTCAGGTGTTTGTGGAAGGGAGGAGGTTGCACCATCTCTGTATTGCTTCTTGTTCTCTAGCAAATAAGCATTTGTAAGACATTTTTCCCAGGCCCTGGACGCTATATCAAAACTAAAGCACAGCTGCCAGATTGAGAAAGTCTGATATCACTGATACTAAAAGACCAGAGTACGCTCTTTCTCTCGGTGGTAAGAGGCCTGTGTTCACCTTGACCACGCTCACCCTGGAAAACTTATTTTGGATATGAATGTGACAGTGGCCCACTGACTGTCTCTCTTACCTGTTGCTTTGCCTTCTAGCCAAGCACACTACTGAGAGGCGAGGCAGTGGGTTTGGTGACTCAGACACCCAGCTCTGAGGCCAGTGTGTTGGGATATGAAACCCAGTTATTCTCATTATAGCTGTGGGCCTCTGGACATCTTATTCTTTCCTCTCTCTGTCATTTCTTAGATTACACAATTGCACAATAGCCACCTCCGCAGAGTACAGGAAGGGTTAAATGAGTAGCACTTGACAGCATCTGGAAGCAAGCCTGACCTCAGCAAACATCGTCTAGCCTCCCCTCCACCCGCTTACCTTCTCCCTCTGGATTGCCTTCATGTGTTGGAGCTTGGCTTCCTCAGCTTCCTTCCTGATTCGTATAGATTCATCTCTCTTTAGCTAAATTGTATTGAGATTACAGAGGACAAAGAAAAAACAGTTACCATTTTTCAGTCTGAACTTCAGGAACACAAAATTATGATGAAAGGCAAATTACAGTATTGTTTGTGTTGCACCTCTCCATGATTATAGGTTGTTACTTTAAGCTACTTAGATCTCAGACAATGGCCAGGCTGCGTTTCCTGTCTGAGAATCTCGGTGTTTCTTCATGGGTCTAACTGTCTGTCTGTCTGTCTGTCCATCTGCCTGCCTGCCTGTCTGCCTGTCTGTCTATATCTCCAGTACATGCTCTACCTCTTGCTCCCTCTTGCTCTCTCTCTCTCTCTCTCTCTCTCTCTCTCTCTCTCTCTCTCTCTCTCTCTCTCTCTGTCTCTCTGTCTCTCTGTCTCTCTCTGTCTCTCTCTCTCTGTCTGTGTGTGTGTGTGTGTGTGTGTGTGTGTGTGTGTGTGTGTGTGTGTATCCATTCATGCACACAGGAAGAGAAAGCACTTAATTTTTCAAATTATAAAACTTATGATATTTATTGTAAAAAGTCACTGGTTATCTTCAATCACTTTTGTACTACTTTTATCACTAATATGGAATAGACAAAATCATATTCTGGGAACAGAAACAGCAATCTTAAACTATAATTAATACGTAATTAATTTAAAGGAGGACCTTTAATCAAAGTGTGTGTGGCCTGGGTAAGAATTCCAGATATTTTCCTTTTTACTTCTTGATTCCTGGTATTTTTTATTTGGAGGATTATACTTTGCAGTTGATTTGAAGGTTTTATATTTTGGGTCACTGTGTTATTTCATGGTCATGTGGAAATGTTGGCACTGAAATTTGTTGCTGAAATTAAACTAGAAGAAATGGATTCTGACCTTTTGCTGGTATTTAGATCGCATCTGTTGGAGCTGTTGTTTCTGCCTCACTTCAGACTCAGACTGGCTTCCACCTAATGAAAATAAATAATAAATAAATAAGCCATGGAGGTAAAACAGGAATATTAAGCTGAAATGCCAGCTTCTGGTACTAATGAATGCTTGGTAAGTCTGCAGTGGGAGTCCAACATTTCGGTACCCCGGGACATCAGAACACAGCCCAAGTTCTCAGACTGGTGGTCATTTAAAAGATAATGGATGGACGGAAAGATGAAATCTTGTTCTTTAAAGGATGATAACACTAGGGGTTTCAGTCAGTAAACGTTAAAATTTTCATCAAAACCATACCTGAAGGGTCACACCAGACATTAAGCAACTGCCTGTGCTAAGAATTCTGAAACATTCCTCCTGCTTCAGTATGACCATTCCCTACCCCAATATAAACAATGGACAATGATGTGTCACTTGTTTTTCTTCTCCTCCTGTGTTCAAGCAGGGAACCTCCCCACACCCTCAGGATTCTTGGCACTACAGACATATGTACTCTTTGTAAACCTAAACCACTTTTTTTCTTAATATTTTTATTAGTTCTTTGAGAGTTTCATACAATTTGTTTTGATCCTATTCATTTCCCCAACTCTTCACAGATATACCCTACCCATTCAACTTTGCATTCTATTTAATTTTTAAATTCCTCAAGACCATATGTTCTTGGATGTGTGGTCTCCCACTGGAGAACAGTCAACTTACTAAGGACTACACACTTGGAGAACACCAACACACACACACACACACACACACACACACACACACACACTTCCCAGCAGCTAACAATTGCTAATGGCTCCATGTTTAGGGGTAGAATTGTGTGCCCAACTGCTCCCTCCATACTGATATCTGGCCTGATGTTGTGGAATATTTTTTAACTATGAAAAGATGTGTTACATTTATTTGTGCTGCAGAACATTACTTTAACTATGTGAAGGTGTATTACATTTGTTTCTACTGCCTTTCTTAACGATATAAAGGTGTATTACATTTGTCTATGCTGCATTTGTTTAACTAAGTAAAGATGCACGGCATTTGTTTCACCTTGCCTGCCTACGGCACCTGATTGGTCTAAAAAAAAAGGTGAATTGGAATGGCCAATAGCTAGGCAGGAGAGGGATAGGTGGGGCTGACAGACAGAGAGAATAAAAAAGGGGAGAAGGAGAGAAGAAGGGAGAAAGGGAGGGACATGCCCGGAAACAGAAGCCAGGCAGCTGCCAGTCAGACAGACATGAGAAGTAGGAAACTAGGACACACAAAAAGAAAGGTAAGAAGTCCCAAGGCAAAATGTAGATAAAAAGAAACAGATTAAAATAAGAACTAAGATAAGCCCTGGGCACTGGTAACTAATAGTAAGTCTCTGTGTCACGATTTGGGAGCTGGTTGGTGGCCTCAAAGAAAAAGGCTGGTACAGTCTGGCTTGGGCTTGCATGGGTTTTGTACACACTGTCCCAACCACCCTGTGCTTATATGTGCAGCTTTGCTGCTGTGTGCAGAAGACAATGTTTCCTTGTCATTCTCCACAGACTTCGGTTCTTCTGCTCTTTCTGCCTCCTCTTCACAATGATCCCTGAGCCTTGAGAGGAGTGTAGCACATATTCCTTTTAGGACTGAGCACTCCAAAATCATCTATTCCAGTCTTTTGAAATATAATGGAAATATTACTGCTAGTAATTGTTAATCCATCATCATGCCATTTACTGCTTTTTTTTGTATTCAAGACAAAAACAAGGACTTCCAATGACTTCCAATGATTGCTCCCACTGTTAAACCAAAATTATCTGAGGCTAGAAAGCATCACAGCTTGACAATCAGTCTAAGAGCTGTCACTTAGTGACTTCTCAGTGTTTGTACAAACGTGGTATTTACATTAAAAGAACTCATTTTGTGGCCTAGAGACATAAATGACTCAGCAGTTAAGAGCACTAGCTGTTCCTGCAGACGATGTGGGTTCTGTTCCAAGCACCAACATCACAGCTAACAACTGGCTGAAACTCCAATTCCAGAAGATCTGACTCCCTCTTTTTGCCTCTGTAGGCACTGCATGCTTGAGAACACCCACACACATAAAATAAAAATAAATTTTCTTTTTAAAAAGAAAGACTACTTTGCAACAATTCTCTGGTGCTTTGGTTACTAAAAGTGCCAGCTCTCTTTAGCATCACTGTCACAAAACTTGCATGAAAACAATTTGTATTTATACTGAGGTTTTTATAATTGATCTGATACAGACACCGAAGGTAGTTTTCTTCTGAGGTACATGAGGCCAGTTCAGGTGGAACATTATGTTACTGTTAGGGAATATGAAAAAGAATTAGGGATGATGAAACTTTATAGTTATTGTTACACTACTCTCTGGAGCTCCTATAATCCTTCCAGTATTTTAAGTGATAGAGACACAGGCAATAAATTAAGAGTTTAAAAAGCAGCAGAAGCCAAATGTTTAAGTATTTTTTAATTTTTATCAAAACACATTTTAAGGGCTAATATACTTTATAATTTGCCTTCACACCTGACTGTTTGTAAATACTTCTCTACTGGATGGTTTTGTGTGTCAACTTGATACAAGCTAGAGTCATCACAGAGAAAGGGGCCTTAGTTGAGGAAATGCCTCCATGAGGTCCATCTGTAAGGCATTTTTTTCAACTAATGACCAATGGGGAGCGGTCAATCTATTATGGGCGGTGCCATCCCTGGGCTGATAGTTCTTGGTCCTATGAGAAATAGGCTGAAGTCAGGCAGTGGTGTCTCATGCAGATCTCTGTGCGTTCAAGGCCAGCCTGTTCTACAAGGCGAGTTCCAGGCCACAGAGAATCCCTATCTTGAAAACACAAAAACAAAAATAAAACAAGCACAAAGAAAGCAGACTAAGCAAGCAAGGGCAAGCAAGCCAGTAAGCAGCCTTTCTCCATGGCCTCTGCATGAGCTCCTGCCTCCAGGTTCCTGCCCTGCTTGAGTTCCTGCCCTGACTTCCTTTGGTGATGAGCATCAAGGTGGAAATGGAAGCTGAATAAACCCTTTCCTCTCCAGTTTGCTTTTCTGTCAGGGTGTTTTGTTGCAGTAACAGAAACCCTAACTAAGACAGCTTCATACAGCCAGCAGACAAGCACAGAGATCTTGCTCATTTTCTTCGAAGGCTGAAAAACAACAGGTGCTGAGTTCTCCAAATTCCAAAATGAGGTGGTACCCAGCCCCCAGAGAAAGATCCAGAAGGAAGAACTAAAAACCAGTTCAAAGGGTGTGCTCTAGAGACTCCCTTTAGTCTATGAAGGAGTTTGCGTGAGGGAGGTTGGAAGCTGAGGAAGGATGCCTTCATAAGTTCCAGCACCTCTGTGTTTGTGTCTGGGAAAGAAAGGTTTCATACCAAGACGATGGAGAGGCTTAATGAAAATCATCCTCATCGTGCATTTCTGGTAGCAAAGTCGATGCTGAGAATCTGAGCCTAAAGCCCCAAGTCCAGGGCAGGATAGGTCCTCGAGAAGATGAGGCTGAAGCTGGGCACAGAGTGGCAAACCTGCAACCCCAACACTAGGGAGATAGAGACAAGAGGTTCATGGACCAAAGACTTCCCCGGGCTGTGAGACCCTGTCTCAGCAAAGGAAGTGGCTGCATCATGGCTGGCTGTCTTCCTGAACTGGAGGAGAAAGGATGTAACAGGGTTGTCTTCACTTTCTCGTGAAAGAGTCCACAGCTAAAGCCATCCTGGAGGTGACCAAATCTGACCAGTGCCTAGGACTGAGCACTGATCACTAGAAATGAGGCTGTCTCAAAAGGCATCTCTCCCCGACCCAAAAAAACCCCTGTACTTTCTTACCTCACCTCAAAATTATGGGAAAGACTGCTTGAGAGGACCTGTTAAGAAGAGCAGGTTTGGGTTTGGACTGGGTTCCTCAAGTCTGGCTTATTCTGCTAAAGGTAAATATGTAGAGTGACAGCTATAGTTCTATTCCGTCCACTCATTAAGAGATTTCCAAATTAGCTTTATTTTTTATCATGTCTCTAGAACTGTTGTGGCAGTGGGTGGCTTCTAACTCAACGTATCTTTATGTCAACTGGAACTATGCCAAACCTTTATGTGACAAACTTTGGCTGTGAAGAGAAGTCAAGACAGGAAGCAAGTGACTCCCATTGGGGGGCATCCCCTCTAAAGGTCTGAAACCCCACGCTGGGAGTCTAGACAGCTCATCACACAGGCAGCACCTGTCCCCAGTCCTAGCATGAAAACTCAGGCGACATCTATCTTTAAACCCACAGCTGGGTCCCCAGATCACTCTCATTTTGCTTTCCAAATTGACTCTCCCATCATTTTTGTCACATTAGCATCTAACTGCCACGATGAATATGCTGTGATGACTTCTCTGACGATGCTGTGACAGGGCATATGCAGCGCCCCAGGTAAGCTTTCTTCAGAGCTGATCATCTAAGAGGCTCTAAATTATTTGCCAATTAAGCCATCACTTTATTCCCACACAACTGTGGCAGATGCGTTTGCTCCTTACATAAAGCCAGAAACAACAATCTACCTGCACGCTGAAATGTTTCCTGTCAGGTGTCTCCCACTCCAGCAGTACACCCCCAGAACAAGCATCGGTGCATGGAGGAAGGCGGATGTGGTGGGTCTTAGCGGGATCTGCGAGTGACCCTGCCTGCTTTCTCTGGCTTCCCATTTGCCACTCACCCAGCCGTTGTGGCACCGAGTAGACTGCTTTAGGCCTGTTCTGCTGCCTCCACCTCTCCAGGTCTGCCAGTTCCTGCTCAGCAACTAAACAGGTAAGAAACAGCAAGTCATCCACAGTTAGAGTTTGGAAAGAAACCTGGTCATTCCAAACATCAAAACAGCTAGCTGATAGCAGATCCTGAGTTTCGGGAGTGAAAGGACAAGATGTCCAGGAAAAGATGATACCTCCCAGCCCCGCCCCCTGGAGTAATGCCTGACCCACCCCATGTCATCATTTCCAAGTGTCTGCACAGAAGGTACAAATTTGAACAACAGCTAAACTCCTGCTAACACAAAGAAATATAGTTTTCCCTCCAATACTGACATTCTTAAAACCTCATGAATTATTTCAAAAGGTTTTCTTTAGCAAATGTGTACAAAAACTAGAATATTCATATGTCAATAAGATCCAGGTAAATATACATCCCCCAAAGAATTCTGGTGCCGATATTTGCCTTATTTTTAGTGTTTCCCAAGCTGGCTGCAACTCTGGGGAGGGAGGCTCTGCCCGGTGCTGTGGCACCCCTGCTCCACATCTTGGTATTCAGAGTTTGAGACAGCAGGGGGAGCCTGGGAGGTTTAGATCTGTTGCTCCAACATATAACCTAATCTCTCAGATTGGATTGTCCCAAAAGACCATTAATAAACATTTTCAAAAAGTCTGAAGCACTTCAAAAACCCGGGTGATTCTGACTATTAAAGCCCTGTTAGAAATTTGAACTGGAGGTCTGAATGATGTTGGAACTTGGGGTACTATGGATAGTGTCTGCGGTTCCCGTAGTCACTGCAGATGGCTGTCATTTTCTGTATTGACTCACTGTACCACCCAGGTTGATACTTCTCTAGTGTGGTCCCTTTTGATAATACTTCCCTGGCTGTGCCATTGTGTCCTCATTAGTCACTGAATTCCCTACCAATAACCTAATAAGGGAGAACACAGAATTCCAGAGCTAGCTGTGCACCTGCCATGGACAGGCACACAGTGTCCTTGTGAACGAAATGAATGTTATCTCTCCTGTCAACTAAATATAATGCTAAAGCATTAGAAGGCAGCATTTGTATTTACTGTGCCCCGGTTAAACCTGTTGCTCATGCCCAAAATACAAGGAACACAGTAAAAGATTAAGATGTGGTCCCTGACATTCGGGTTATTATCTAGAAAAAAAAGTGGTTACATAGATAAAACCATGGAGGGTAGATTGACTGTTACAGAAGTATGGGAATATAGAGGCTAAAGAAAAAAATGTCCATTAAGGAAAGATGGAACGTATCAGAAAAGGCACAAGTCCCTTATGATCTTTTTCATATACAGCTTGTCTGTTTCGAAAGTATTCATGGAGCCATTAAAATATCACCAATTTTTGGATATATCAGGGACCAGAGCCAAGCAATAACAACAGGTGTGAAGTTCTTTTAAATCCAAGAAAAATCTAAAATGTACACTCACTAGTGCCATGAGTTATGTTACTAATGTAGAGGAACCGTTTTAGAAGTGCTAACAATAGAATAATTTTACAAGTATAATTAAAACTGCTAAAAATCCTAAAGACTTTAGTGTGACCCAATGAATCTCTGTAAATCAGAAAATAAAAATACTTAAAGAAGCAATCATAAGGCAAACAAGAAACATTGACTCTGGTAGGAATATGTGTGCATACTTCTTTGCATCTTCTGCCTTCGGCTCTCATTCGGTGCTATCAAGGTGTGCGTGCCTGTGCTGGAATGAAGAGAACAGTGGTTATCATCATGACAAATTCCCAAGGCATCTAAGGCACCACCCATCCTCCTTCTAATACCATCTGACAGGTATTGGGGAAGATAGCCATTCTTAAGAACTTGCCCTGTTTTCTGGTACCTTTCAATCTAGGTGAAAGGTGCATGGGCAGAGTCAAATAAAGAAATACAAAGCAATGGGCATGGTAACTACTTACTGCTGAACTCCAACACCACTGCTTCTTGGTAGACTGTTCTTGTAGGACATCACTCCTCTAGGTGGCGCATGTGAGTCAATCTCTTTAAGACTTTTTTCTTCTCTTGTAGACTTACTTTAGGACAAAAAGAAACAATGGGACATCCGACGCATTCTTTGTTCAGACAAACACGAGTCTGAGTCTTTTGCCATGCAGCCACATCCTCTCTGACTAGCCCACTTGTGACTACCAACTTGTCTGTTTCTTGTGGTTTTAGGTTTTGATTCGTATGAGCCTTGATCCCCTGGGCTCCTCATTCCCCTGGCGACACAGGTTGAACATAATCAGGACCAAGAACAGTGCAAACATGGGACTCAAGAGAAAATTTCCTTTTTTCCTTTGTTCTTTCTGTAGCAGGTAAGGTGCAAACATGTGTGTGCATCCTTGCATGCGCTGGGTCACTTGCCTGTGCATGTGTGTGTGAAGATCTGAGGTTGGCACTGATGTCCTGTTCCTCGCCGCCTTCTATTTTGAGAGGAAATGTCTTGCTGAGCCTGGAGTCCTATTTTGACTAGACTGGCTGGCCAGAGAACCTCCTTGCATCTCTGCTCCTTCCATGCCCCTCCCTAACAGCTCTGGGGTAGAGGCACAGCACTACATGCTGGGTTTTCCCTGGGGTGCTGGGAATCCAAAGTCAGATTCTCAAGCCTGCATAGCAAGCACTTCAGCCACAGAGCCTTTTCTGTAAGTAAAAATATTCCACACGGAGACACCAGAAATACTGAGCTACGTAAGACACTGTGAACCTTTAAAGGCAGAGGTGGGCTTCAGTGATATGTATTCCAGATCTGTGCCAGTGACTGGCTCACTGTGAGAGTGTGATGAAGTTCAGTATCACAGATGCCAGCCGTGAGTCTGCCCTGGGATGGCTCATTTTGAGCCCATGCATGTGGTCCCACCAGAGCAAGAATGCTTCGTAAAGCAGAGATACAGTACAGTAACAGACTGCAGCATACATATGGGTGCAGCTTGGGAGAAAATGTTGTGGATAAATGCAGCCATCTTATAAGTACGGGTTTAAAACAAAAACCCTAAATGCTCTTAGAAGGCCTTCTCCCACCTGGGATGTCCCATTTCTAAGGGCAAATTAGCAAAGACAGAACAGTAGAGGCCAAAAGTGCTGATTAACTGAAGCCATTTTTCCTTATCTCATTATTTTCCTAGCTGCAAGCCTTCAGCCTGCTTCTTCCTGGACTTTAATTTTAGACTTGTAATGTGAGGTGTGCAACCACCTTTGCATGCAAATGGGGCTGCTGGGTGCCCAATTACCTAATGTATACCAGCAGATGGTGCATGGGTAGCCTAGCATGCATACAACGTTATGAATACAGAAGTAGGAGACTGCCACTGGAAATTAATCCCTTATCTGTTACATAGTCTTTGTTCACCCTGACAAAGATTTTTTTCCACTCCTTAATTGCCAGTACTTTATAGGATCCTGGGAGCTGCAATTCTGTGAGTAGTATCTGGAGGCTTCCATGTGATGCAATGGTGAGCCATTCTACGGAGTCTTAAAGCTAAAACGCAAGGCATTGGATTTAAAGGGCAATTGTGAAATTACTGTGCTATCCTCAGTGCCGAGGCTGTGATGTAGAGTCTAGGCTGGGGATTTGCTTATGCCCCACATCAGCAGCTCGTAACCTTTACCATACATCAGAATCACCTGGAGGGCTTGTTGGCAGGCTTGTTAAAGGGCAGAGTTTCTGATTCAGTGGCTCTGGGGTGAGGCTCGATAACATGCATTTTTTAAAAAAATAAGTTCCCAGTTGATGTTTGCGCTGGTTAATCTTCATCACCGTCTTTACAGGATTTAAAATCTCCTAGGAGAAACAGTCTGAACCAGTCTGTAAGGGCGTTTCCGGAAGGACTAACTAAGGACCGATGGCCCACCCTGAATGTGTTTCGAATGAAAAAGGGGGAAGGAGAAAACAGAGAGCCAGTGTGCACCCCTCTGCTTCCCAGGGGCAGACTCAACGCGACCATCTGTCTCAGTTCCCAGCAACCCTCCAGCTTTTAGTTTCATCTTGACGGCAACAGGGAATGACACTAATGCTAAATACTGCCCAAGGTTCCACATTTGAAGAGCCACTGGTGCAGATTAGTTGTACTTTCTATGCTGCCAGAATGGTTTGTGCCCAGCGAGACCCATGTTGAAGCTTTTAGTCCCCAGTGTAGGGGTATCGAGGAAAGGGAGGCCTTTAAGAGATGTGTTGGCCACGGGGACACCGCTCTTACATGGGACTAATGGATTAGTGACATTCTCACAGAAAGTGGGTTGGGCATCACAGGACTGGATTAGGTAAGAAAGAGTATTGTTAAAACTCAAGAGATAGTCAACTGCTTGATCTTCTGCACCAGCCTGCTAACCACCCCCATCCTCGTCACAACTTCCCACAGCCAACAGTGTATACGTGTTAGAACTTTCTAGCCACTAAACTTGTGAACCAAGTGAATCTCTCTTTAAAAAAATGCATTGTCCTTCTTAAGTGTTTTGGTATAGCAACACAAAAGCACTAAGAATCTGTTTTAGGATTTTTTTTGATAAAAAGTTAACAAGGGTCATGCATGTTGGTGCATGCCTTTAATGCCAGCACTTGGGAGGCAGAGGCAGGTAGTCTCTGTGAGTTGGAGGACAGACTGGCCTACATACCGAGTTCTAGACAAGCCAGGGCTACATAAAAAACACTGTCTCAAAAACAAACAAACAAAAAACTATTGATTAATGAATTTTTGATCAATACACAGAAGGTAAATCATTTACTAAAAAATCACTAGATTAACAAAACAATGGTGCTAAGCTCAAAAGTTGGGACTTTTGACCTAAACCAACTAACTGTAGCTGATTTTTCAATTTAACACAGATAGCTTAAAATGCCTGTTTTCTTAACTTCAGCCACCTTCCCCTTTATGAATTGCTTGGGTCAGCATACTATGTAGCGATACTTTCATGCATCCATGTCATTGTATTTCATTCTGCTTCATTTCCTGCCTCCATTGCCCTCTCCCTTCACAGATGTCTCTCTTCCTTTTTCCAAACACTCATTCGCTTTGCTCGTTGTTACATGTTTTCTATCTTCCCATTTCCCACTTCCCTTAAAATCTCTTCTTCACCTCTCATGATCCCCTTTTTAGTTTCATGACCTAAAGTCACACATATATAGAATGTGTAGTTTTTAAATTTAGGTTCTACATATGAGAAAACCTTGTAGCATTTGTCTTTCTTGGCCTGGCTTATTTCATTTGACACAATGATTTCTAATTGAACTCACCTTCCTACATATGTCTTTTGAGTTTTCATTATGGCTTCAGAAACTCCACTGTGTCTACGTCTCTTTGTTCTTTCATCTGTTGGTGAATATATAAGCTGGTCCCATTTCCTGTAACTTCAACACTTTGAAATACTTCCAAACAGTATGACCACTTACCTCAGGATCTATTATAAAATTACTATGCTAGAGACTTACAGGGCATGGGAAAGGCATTAAACAGAGATACCAAACCCTTCCACAGATCTTAAGCTTTAGTTAGGAACAACTGACGAAAGCAACATAACTCAATGACAAGATTATCCAAACAAGTTCTAGGGTGAGATGATTAAATAGTCAGAGACACAGGCAGAGGAAACCCACAAAGAACCCAGAAGAGCAGTAAACTTCAAGGAAGAATGCTGAGTTGAAGATGTAGCAAATGAGTTTGCTAAGAATGTTCCACAGTGAATTTTCCAAGCCCATCTGCCTTCTTATACAAATTACCAAAGAGAGTTGGAGGGGGAAATCTGTTTACAGAAGATTGTAGTTTACAGTGTCTAATCTAAGTCTGATCACAGCACAGTAGCATCTGTCAATCTCAGCATGCAACTGCTGGGTCAGAGACAAAAGGCCTCCTATTCAATGCAGAGAAAGTAGTGTGACCCAGTAGGGTTCTCTCTCTCTCTCTCTCTCTCTCTCTCTCTCTCTCTCTCTCACCTAATCCTAACATTGGTCCTGGTAATACACGTTTTACATGAGAGAATGCCGTAGTGATATTTTATTGCCTGGAAATGCCAAATCAAACCCATAATAATATAAGAAAACACCACCAAGTGATTTAGCTCTTATCTCTCCTTTTTCCAGTAGAAAGAGGAGTTGGAGTCTAAGGATATGCTTTTTATTTTTAATATTGTGTGGCAGAGTGCAAGGCTCTTATAGATCCAAAATAGTCATCTCTTCTCTCTGAACATTTTTTGACATGAATAGCAAGCATAATTTATTAATGTTCCAAACCAATTAGCTTCCTCGACAGCAGACCCTTGCCATTTCAGCTTCATGGAGTTCCTTTCTGCAAGCAGATTCTGGAGCTACTGATTGGACAAGCTCAAGTTGCCTCCATTTAACATTCTGGTCATTGCCTAATGAAGCAACATCCTAGTTGCCGAAACAAATATATATTTTTGAAGATGAGTTTCCTTAATTATCTCATTGAAATTTAATGAAATGTCTGTTAGTAAGATTGTTTCCAATTTCCAACATCACAGTTCTTCTGTGAGGCAGAGTGGAGGGCACAGAAGACAACACTCTAAAACAAAGACAAGTACCTTTTCTGTGTCATTTTTTAAAGAGTAGGAAGGCTGGGGCGACAGCTCAGTGAGCAAAGTGCTTCCTGTGCTGATGGGCTGATGGGCTGATGGGGGAAGTCCTGTGTATGTGTCAATAAAGCACTGTTGGCCAATAGGGAAGCAAGGTAGGTGGGACTAGGAGTCCAGGAGGACTCTGGGTAGGAGAAACACAGGGAGTCACAATGTAGCCTGCCAGAGAAATAAGATGTCTAGAACTTTGCTCCGGTAAGATTAACAATTATGGGATAAATGCTTAAGTCAGAGCTAGCCAGTAAGAAACAAGCAAGGCCAACAGCTTCATAATTAATACCATGTCTTGTGTGTTATTTGGGAACTACAACGCGGCAGAGCCCAGGTGACTGGCAAGTGGCTGACAAAGAAAAGGCTTCTCTCTACACTGTGCAAGCATGAGGATGTGAGTTCAGATCCCTAGAATCTATGTAAAAAGTCCAGAGAGGTAACCCCAGTGCTGAAGGAAGTG